TCAATGAATAGAAAGGCGATGTCTTGCATTATTAAAAGTGGAATTAAAGTGGTTGAAAATTCAGGGGTCATTAAATGTCTCTTAAAAAACATTCCCAATTTGCCAATTTTAGTGAGTCCTTAAATGTCGTAGTTTAAGATACACACGTAGATAAATGTTTTCAAAGTGCTCAAAGCTAACATTTTGAAAATGTCCTTTCTGTGTTTTCATAAGCCTGCTGAATAAACCGGACCTCATTCACTTCGAGTAGGTTTAATTAGCAATAAAATTAGTAATTATCCAGCACAAACACGGTAGCAGTGACCAAAAATAAACCGAAAAGGGGCGTGGCAAAGCGGCCATAAAACGCGAAACAAACAAGGCCCGTTGGCCATGCCACAAAAGTCAGCTTAAAATAAATTTAAATTTTAATTTCAATCTCGGTGCCATTCGCCCGACAGCGCCGCACAAAAGCCAACTGTTTCGGTGGCGGCGGTGAAAGTCTGTTACCCTTACCCTTTTTACTTTCCCTTCCCCTTTTTTTTGGCCACCCCCTTGGCATCCCCGGTACTCCCATCCCAGGATCTTTTTGCCTGGGAGTCCTTGCCACTGCTGCGTAGACAACTTCCAGGGGCGCAGCTGCCATTTTCGTGTGTCCGTGTGCAAGTGAGTGCGGTCTGATGGAAGCCATTGGCAGGTCCCTTGGCTTCCTCAAATCCGGCGTACGACGAGTGTATCTGTGGGTACAGGCAGGTTGCACATCGGGCTACTCTGCAATTTAAAATACCCTATTTTAAATATTTAAAAATAAACATTTATTTCAGCAAGTATTTGCTAGGTCTGTTATTATTTCTTGTAAATCAAAATTAATTTGATTTCTTAAGAAGTAATTTAAATACAATTTCTTAAAGTTTTTTTGCGATTTTTTTATAAAACTACAAATTAATTCATAAATATACTTCATAAATTTAAGAGAAGAGGTTTCTTCGATTCTGGAATGTTTTCTTATTTTCGACAAATATTATATAAAATTTAAATAACATTTTAATGAAATGAATAATACTTTATTCACATTATCGTTTATTTATTATATTTTTTTTTATATAATATTCTGGTTTTGAGGGAATTGCAAATGACCTCCGACCAATTTTCTTCTAGCTATAGCTTCTAGGCCTTAAGCCCTATTGGGTTTATATACATTGTTGTTATATCTAAATTATGGTAATATAAATGGGTTTTTTATTTTTTTTATTATAAAGGTGTTTTGTCTTGGTAAATTCTGTTGCGAAAATAATACTAACGAATTTTGGGGATAAAGAATTTATAATTTACCATTTCAATAAAATCATACAATTTTGTGTTCAATATCCTAAGTTTTTTTCTCATTACCAAAATGATACCCAAATGATTCCTGAATATGGCCAACGGAAATATTGCGGCTAGGGGATTTCTGAGCGGCATTTTTCATATGCATGCAGGATGAATAAATAAAGCCAAGTGCTTCGCTGCGGTTCATTTCTGCCTTTTACCTTTTGGCTGCTGCCACTGCTCCCGAGCCACCGCCACATAATATGACGTATACGCCGCGTTGTCTGACACTGAACGGCAGCCTTTTGATGCAATGTCTCCTGTGGGCAGTCGGGCCCCACGATTTGCGTAACCGAGCACATGTTGAGTCATCCAGTGGGTGTCTTTGCTTCTATAAATGGACCACTTGCTGCAAAACAATTGCGGGGGCTAAACATAATGAACAATGCTTAAACGTCATTATACTTGATTAATATATCTGTTATTTTGGTTTACTACAATGATATAGAAGTGTTAGTACTTAGCATTGCCATCGATTTTCACTGTGGCTTTTCCCTTTTCACCTGCCTGGCTACAGCGTTAATTACTATCATCTAAATTCATATTTCCTGGCCCACAAAGTTGTGGCCCAGTTTGCAGGCAAAATTAACGTACATACCTACAATAGGCGTGTGTTGACCTTTTTGCTTACCAATGGTCGATATGTAAATAGGTTGGCAATTAAAATGCTGGCAGGGTGAATTTTGTTAATTAGCCAAGAAAAATAACATCTAATTGGCTTTGGGGTTTGCAGGCTTAAAAGCTTTTTATTGTACCGAAAGCAATTATTATTATTTGTTTTCATTATTATTATAAAATCCTTCAGTTTGATTTCGTAAAGTTCAGATGACTATAGTGGTCCTTAGCATTGACATAAACAGCTTTGAATTCTTTTCAGATTTAATTCATATTTAAACTCTACAAAAAGGGGAAATTAAATAAAAGAGATATAAAAAGTGTCTTTAAAAGCATTTTAAACACAAACGTTTAAGCGAACTCGTTTGCTATCTAGTGGCCTATTTGTCTGAAATCGTTGTATCTCGTGGCTTGCCATTTTGTTTGTGCCAAAAATAAAATAAAATGCAGAGCCAAGCAACACGTCAGCGTCAGCACATTTGGGCCAACTTTCAACTACACTGTGAATACAGTTTCGATACTTTTGCCATGCTATGTAGTTATATATGTATATTTACCTGGCAGCTAGCATTGTTGGCCCCCATATGCCTTGTGTTTTTTAGTTGGCTCTTTTAGCTGCTGTTTTACTTTTTGGGGCGTTGCCTCGGCTGAGTTTTAATTAGCCCTGAGTGCGTGCTGGCCTGAGCCAAAAGCCGTACAAATTGTTATATAAACACATACACACGCCCCAACAAAGTGTTTTGAGAGCCTAAAACATTGTCGCCATCAAAGTTGAAGTTGGCCAACACGAAAACTACGCAGGTCACGAGGAAATTAGTTGCCCAAGGTAGTGCCATAGTGAAAAGCCAGCGAGTGAAAAGTCTTGAAATGGCAGCGGAAATGAAATTAAGGGAAAGTGGGGAAAGGACGTGCTTGCAGCCATGAAAAGGAATTTTTTTCCAGGCCCCCACAGCCCCCCTTTTTTCCATGGCAAATGTTAAGGTTATGTGTCCTTAGTACAAAAACTAATAGCAAATTTCGGGCGATGGCCTGCCCTTTTTATTTTGCATTTTTGTTTTGTTCCCCAGTTTTAATTTGCATGTTTACGCCAAAATGGCATGCAGACGTTGAAGCAAAATAAGCAAAATATTCATAAAATATGAGAAAAGGAAATTCCGTTAATTTTTATTTGCCGGAAACATTTAAAGCAGAATTCTCAAAATGCCAGTGGGAAATGGAGGATGCATTTATACCTACCCAAAGGGAAAACAGAAATGCAGAAAATGTATATTTTATAGTTGTCCCTATCATATTCCTTATAACTGGCAATGTAAACTGATTTTGGTGCAAAAAACTTGAACTTTCATGGCACGAACATGTTAAAAAAAATAAGCAATAGTTGGGTGAAGAAAGGACAGGGTCAAAACTTCATTGGGAAGTTTTAAAAAGTACTGCAACATTTTTCTCGATAAAACTAAAGTTTTCTGAAATGTATTTCAAGACATTTTAGGTGGCTTCTCTATGATTATAAATTACCCCTTTACCTATTTATTATTAATAATGAAGTTATATCGGGAATGCCAGTGAGAACTTTGCAACGCTGATGTTTAGGACTTCATAGATATAGATATTTGATTAACATTTACCTCTTGTTTCCAACTTAACACACTTTGCAGCGCTGCTTAGCTTATAAATTGTAATATTTGTGTATATTCAATATGGATTAGGATTAAGTCCGGTTATGCATAATATGTTATTCACATGTTCCTTGCAGTAAATCCGTCTCTAAGCCTAAGTTAAGATAATGTTGTGCAATGAGCAAGTAAGAGCGAGTTCAAAATGGTATCTCGACCAGAGAAAAAAAGTGAGAAAATGTAGCATAGTGGAAATGATTAGCTGATTTATTCTACGGGTGTATGTTTGCAACAGTTACGCATGTTTAAAATAAAATAACGACAAAAAGCACAGAGAGTATTTACCAATAATAGTTCACTTCCAAGGCCAAGAACAAATAAAACGAAGAGCTGCAGAAATTCATAGAAAGATCAAAAATAATATGAAAAATATATATGTGTGTGAGTTAAGAATTTAGATGCTTTTTGATACCCCAAACGAACATTAGCTAGGCAAAAGGCAAAATATGCATTGAAAATTTTATAGGCAACAACGCAGCTTAGGCAAAACCTACATACACACATATTGAAACCAAGTAATTCGTTTAGATTTTCATAGTATAAAGGGAAATCAAGCACAGCTCCAACTAAAAACATGTCGATGGATACACCCAGACAATACGCCCAAATGTATGCAATTTGATTGTGCAGATAGAATATTTTTTAAATGTTTATAAGCAGAGATTGAAATATTTGTAAAACATATTTTAATAGACACCGAAAACCAAAGAACAAACTTTTTGAAACATATTTTTTGATATACAAACAAGGAGACGGAATAGTTGAACACTGCGAATATGCACAAAACATATATCTTTCGGATAACCCTAGCCTAAGTTAAAGTTGTTGTGTTGTAACATTTTCCGTTAACAAGTTGACAAGTATACTTTCGATGGTTTCACCAAAAATTATTTTGAGCCGTTTTGTATGCCATTCGGTTGAAGCTTAAGCAAGTAATCCAAAGTACAATCATTTATGTCAAACAGGACAACACCACAACACACCATATATAGATATTGGTATTTGTATTGGGCAAGACAATTCTCATACTGATTCTGAGATAGGGATACAAAGGCGTTAAGGTTGAGGAATAGTTTTTACAGGGACAAAAAAAACGAAACACTTTTTGCTAACAAGAAATTTTTTTAAATTCATTTTACACACGCTTTATAAGATTGGTAGTGGATTTCAAGGATAGCCAGTTAAAAGTGAACCAAAACCGATTTCAGTTTGAGAAGACAGGGTTTTAAGATACCGAAGAACCATTGTATAATTTAGTTAAAGTAAACTTGAGCTTAGGTCTGTCGGCAAAACAACTGCAAAACCGAATGTAATCCCAGTATTTAGCTTGTAACTAGAGGTAAAGCTCCCCAAAAACCAAACCCTAACCCGGATCCCGACCCCTCCTCAACCAAGATGTATGCAGCAGCGGGTGGCGCCTCCCTGGCCTCCCGCCAGGCGCGGCAACGCCAGCGCCAGCAGAAGAAGACCCAACAGCTCCAGGCGAAGCTGCATCCACCGAAGGCGGCCGGACCCTCACCCGGCGATCTTGCCGCCGAGGGCGCCTCCACGCCCACACGCAGCCAGTCGCGCCAGTTCCACCAGCTGCCCACCAACTATCTGCGCGCCCCGCAGCCCCATGGACGCAAGCTGAGCGCCACCTATACGACGCAATCGAAACTCCTACTGCCAATCGAGGAGGGTGACACCCAGTCGGTGCTGCAGTTGCGCATGCACTCCCACGCCCATTCCCATGGCCATGCCCACGCGCACGCCCACTCGCACTCCCATGGACCCGCCCACGCGCCACCGCCCATATTGAGCCATCATGGGCAGACGCCCTACCAGCAGTTCGCCTCATCCCACGGACGCGTCTCACCGAAACTGGTGCATCGGCATTCCGGCAGCGGCAGCAGTGCCCCCGGTTTCCATCCGGTGATCTCCGCCGGACAGCTGCACAAATCTGCGACGGCCACGCTGCCGCTGGTCTCGCACATGGAGGCGGGGGCGGAGTCGCCATCGGCGGTGGCCGGCGTTAAAACGACAGTGACCTCGTTGGAGAAGGCCACGCCCACGTCTCCGCCGCTGGCCAGCACTTCCGCTGCCGCTGCCGCCGCCTTGGCGGCCGAGGCGCAGGCAGAGTTAGCTGGCGATGGCGATGGCGCCGGCGCCATGTTTGTGCCCCACCATGATGCCATCATTGTAACGCCGGCCACGCCCATGGCCTCGCCGGGTCATGTGGCCAAGCTGCGTCGCCCCGGGCCGGAGGAGCTGCTCGAGGCGTCTGCCGAGCGGCAGCCGCTGACCGCTGGCGTGGGCCTGGAAGAGGACGAGGATGAGCCGGCGCCGCCGACGCCGGGTCAGCTGGAGCGCAAGTGTAGCGTGTACAGGATGCGCAGGAGCGACGCCTTCGAGCTGGACACAGGTGGCCCCGGCGGCGGTCTCAAGCGGCAGCTGCGGGAGCTGCAGTTCAGCGCCGGAGTCCAGCAGACGCAGTACGAACCGCTGCTCGCCGATGAACCGCAGCTGATCTTCAAGGGATTGGGGGTCAATGGGCGCAAGATGCAGATATGCGCCTACTGCGAGGAGGGCATCTGCGTGTGCGAGCACCTCGAGGTAATTCCGGCCCGATCTTGACTAACCCTGTTCTAAGTTCCGACCCCCAGATTTTGGAATTTGCTTGCTATGTACTTTGCATGCCTAATAATTGTAATATCTGTGTATGAGTGTTGTGAGTTTGATGTTTTTTTTGAGTGTCGATCCCAAAACAAGGTTTTACTTAGGTCCTTCATCATTGGAAAACTGTCCTCTCAAAATAAAAAAGAAAACAATCTCTTATTCCAAACCTTATGGTATGGTCTTAAATTTTGAATGAATGAAAAAAATACGTTCAATTGGAGGTAGTATTGTATATTCAAGCAACAAATTTAAAAAGGTATTTACTGTATGTCCATGGCCAGAATGACTTACGTCATGTTTACCAACTATCTGTATAATAATGTTTGTATGTTGTAGCAATTATGTATTTTGGCTTGGGAAACTTTAGGTTTGGGATTTTGGGATTTTTAGGATGGGTAATTCGAAGCTTGTTACAAAAAAACTGGTTCCTGGCATTCACCTAGGTATATTGAAAAGTATTATTTCATATTTATGAATTGGTCTTGTCTTACCATTTTAGTGATTATTGGAGCAATGCCAATTGTCTGATTTATTTTTATAATGTCAAGATGTTATAGCAAATATGCTTTCTCAGAATTGGAAATTTAATGATCGTCAAGCATTATCACAGTATATGATTTATATTAGGAGCAATAGATTCAAACTATATACTAAATTCAATTTCGTATTGTTGTTATTGCAAATACTCAAATAGATTATATTTCGGTTGAAGCTTTGATCGTAATTATGCATTATACATAGTTTTGGGCAGATTTGTATACACATTAAGACACATAAATGGTCATAAGTGAGTTTAAAATACACAATGGTTTTGTAACTCATACGCAATGTTGCCATGTTCTTTTTTCATGATTAAAACTAAAATTCGTTTTATATTTTATATTATTCTTATAAAGAGTTCTAAACTTTATGGGCCTTAGCCATAGGGAGCATCCTGTGACTTTGCCCAGCTGAACCAAGACACTTTCAATAAAGTTATGTTTTCTTTATCCTACAATAGAAATTTAAAACATTCTATATAAGCTATGCAAGTTGCTCTGACAGTCCACACCCACACATGTTACACTTACGGCATCTCTAATAAGGACAAGTAGCTTTTGGCAGGAGTCAACAAGCTCGATATGTCCGTGCAGCTTTCCTCTCGACTAGCCCCATTTTGAGGCGATGGCGATGGCGATGGCGTTGCCATAACGGCGGCATCGACAGGGAAAATGATGGTGGGACCGGCAAAAGAAGGGCTACGACGACGACTGCAAGTATGCATGCATAACAACAATCCGAGAATCGGAAGCGCATAATGTGCCTTTGTATCGGCCTGATAATGCCCTGCCCGAAAAAAAGCTTGGCAGGCCCACCACGCCCCCACTTTTCCCCACCTCCAGCGGGTCACAACCTCCCTCAACTGGCGCCGTTTGCCAAATGTTGTGTAAAAGGCTAATGGCAACACCGAATGTGTGCCATAAAAGTGCAAGGTGGCAGCGGCAGCGATTTAAAGTTTCCTCCTTAAAGTTGTAAGCCATAGGGTTCCATTTCCATCTCGGTTCTCGGGTCACGACTCACTTAAAGGGCTCTGGATGAGAGGCGGTAAATTAAAAAACTTAGCACTGCGCTATTATTTGACTTGCATAAGCTGCGAATCAACTATACGTCTTTATGCGGAATAAAGCACAGAACTTGCACAAATTAAACAAAACGTGCGCACAAAAGAGATTCTCTGTAAGACCGCGTTTCGAAGACGGAAACGCCGCGAAAACGGAGGAAAACCAAGTCCACAAAAAGCGTTTCAGCAGAACAAATAAATTTCACTGAATCGACACAATTATTCTCATTAGCTGGTGGAGAATTACTATATCTTCCAATAAACATGTTAAAGAATTTTTAAAAGTAGGCCAATAATAATTCCGATTAGGGAATTTAACATTATAGCTATCTAATGCTGTTTTAAAGAAGAATGGAAAGTGTTCAGAATCTATTTAGACGTATCTTAAGTACAGTTGGGTACGATTGCAGACTTGAAATATTTTACATATTTATATCTATTATTATCTATCTAAATTGGAAAGGGAGTATGTATGATATAACAAGAGGAATCTTTTGATTTTTTAGTCCCATTTTGGGAATATTAAAGATTTTAATTTTTGAAATGTTTATTATCACGTTTTTCAAATAATAACACACTCTTGGGAAGTTATATACTGAGTTCGTATAATTTAGCAAGAATAGTCTTTATGCGTAAGTTGTCCTATTTAAGGAATTTTTTAAAATAGTCTAAAATGTCCCGCTTTGTAATAAGCTGTGGTTCTATAGCCCCGATAAGAAGATCGCACCTCTAAGGATTTAGTGCAAACTCACATCCACAATAAGTCTTGCTTCCTGCTGTTCTCGACCAGAACTGAGTGTAAAAAAATTAAACGGCCAACGAGAATGTATAAAAAGCGAGGAAAGTAAACAGCAAAAGCGACTGGCGGCGTCTAAAATTTATTATATTCCCTGGAACTGGGACTTGGAACCCACGCCAGCGTCATTTCTACACTTTCTTTCTGCCACTCGAATCGCTAAGAGAGACATGGACTTTTCAATGGGTATGTGTGTATGCATTCCCGAGCGCCTCGTGCACAAAAACAACAGCTAGTAAATTAGCTGGAAAATAGAGAAAAAAGTATGCGGCAAAATGGCGGACGCCAGAAATGCGAAAAATATCATCATCGCCATTTGTCCCACCGCCCACGCCGCCACTTTTTCCATTCCCCCGGAAAAGCGTGAAATGAAAATGGGCGAAAGACTTGTAATAAAGATGGAAATAAACGTGCTGGGGGGATTTTAGTAGGGGTTGTTGTCTAGAGTTTATGAATAAGCAAAATGGCGACATTGAGATAAATAACTGCATTAGCATTAATTGCCCACTGCACGTGTTCGTGTGGGTCTATCGCAGGGAATTTAGAACAGATTTAGTGGTAGCGTTTTGTAAAATGAGTGCAGAGATGGGAATTACAATTCGCTATCAACCATTTTGCTTTATACGTGGGCATTTTCAAAGGTCAGTAGCACATCATTTGCACAATTTGATGTAAACTTCAAAGCAAAATGCATTTTATACCTTTTTTAAGCGTAGGGAATTATTTTATTCGGAATTTGTACATTTAAAAAACTATTTAGACTTAATTTTTGATATTCGGATACAAACGGCATTTTTCCTTTAATAAGAAAAATTATACACTACTAAAATAAATGTTTTTTTCCTTTAAGCAAAACCAACAAAATTAAAAAAATTAAAATTTTAAAAAAAGTCGCCCTGACTGCAAGTTTAATAAATTAAATAATTAAATACTTTTTAAATGTGTAAATAGAGAATACTATTTAGGAAAACATTCGCTAAAGTTATAAGTAAATACTTAAGCTTTTTCCTTAATTCCTCATTCTAGCCAGAAGCATTTTTTGCTTCCATTTATATGGCCTTAAACATGCCATTGCAATTTAGATTTCTCAATTATCTAGCTTAGAGAACGTTCATATTAATTGAAAATCCATGCCAAGGCCAGATGGTTAGACCGAATTCGAATCAGCTCTTCGGTCCAATCAGGGATTCGAGGCCGTGCGATTGTGATCATTTCAGTTTGATGAATCAAATCGCTTACGCCCAAATGAACAAGATGGCTTGATTTACAGCCAGTTGCCAGCAAGTCGTCGTCGTCCGTCGTCGTCGTAATTTAATTTCCAATTACACGGGATGTCTGCCAAAAAGTGCGACGCTGGCGATTGTTGCTGCCTCAGAATGCAGCCTCGATAATTACTCAAACTGTCGCCCGGATCCGGCGCCAGCTTCCCTTTGCCATGCCCACTCCATATCGGAGCAGAGACATCCTCTTGGCCCATTTTTCCCAATTCTCGACGGTTGCTGGTAATTGTTTGTCAGGCACGTCGGTCTTGGCCAGTTCTCGTAATTGTAACTGACATATTGCCACTGCGCAGCCCTCACTCTCCACTTCAATTTGACTTTTCCCCAAAGCCATCTCGCAAATACAGTGGTAATCATCCTTGTGCACACACACAAAAAAAGGACTCGCCCAAACCAACGACAGATCCTTCTTTATTGCATACTTTGCGGCAGCTTCATTGAATTATTGTTGCATAATTCATTCACTTTAAACGCACACAGAGGAAGGGAGAAAGTAAGAAACTCTTCTCGTTTATTACAAAGCCGCATTTAAATTAATTTTCGATTTTGGCTCAATGCTTTTTTCTCTGTTTGCCCATACCCATTCAGCCAACATTTATCTTCGAAGTTTGGCCAGCGTTGTTGTTGTTGATGGCTGCCACTGCCATCGACAATAAAAATCATTTAAAAAGACACAAATTACTCTGCACAATGTGCACAGCTCCCAAATTGCGGGGACAGCTTTATGGCCGGAGTCCCAAAGGGGCATTTACTATGGGAAAATCGGAAAACGGGATTTATGCAAAATTGAGTTGGGCCATATAAATGCATCGGCTCTCAGTCGTTTAACTGAGCCACAAATTGAGCAATTTTTAAATATTTGTTTATAATAACTATCACAGATTGTGGTTCTGATTGAGTAAAATATTTGTGTTCCAAAGTATTTTTATATGATAGGGTGTCATAATCACTAAGGTCTGAAATCACTTATTCCAGTGCCTAAAAGTATGCAATAAAAAATAATTGATTTAGTTTGAAACCAATTACGGATAGAAAAATTATTGCTGTATACTTGTTGGCACCTTTTTAAGCTGTCTTAAATATCTAAAGATATTATTAGGTAATTTATACAGCATTGTTAACTTGAATTCTAAACCAAAATTTAAAAACCGTAAAGGGTTTACACTCACTAAAAAATTAACCACTAATTAAGTGTCGATGAAGCCTGCCCCCGCATCGATACAGCTCAATAACTTATGCTCAATTAAGCCTGGTTAGCGGT